AGCGTTTCATCCTCAGACGGACGGGCAGTCCGAGCGGACTATTCAGATTTTGGAGGATATGCTCCGAGCTTGTATCATTGACTTTGGAGTTTGCCTACAACAACAGCTACCAGCCGAGTATTCAGATGGCTCCTTATGAGGCTTTATATGGTAGGCGGTGTCGGTCTCCCGTTGGATGATTTGAGCCGGGAGAGGCTCGGTTGTTGGGTACAGATCTAGAACAGGATGCCTTGGACAATGTCAGGATCATTCAGGATAGGCTTCATACAGCTTAGTTCGGGCAAAAGAGTTATGCCGACCGTAAGGTTCGTGATTTGGCATTCATGGTCGGTGAGCGGGTATTGCTTCGGGTGTCGCCTATGAAGGGCGTGATGAGATTTGGGAAGAGGGGCAAGCTTAGCCCTAGGTTTATTGCCCGTTTGAGATTCTTGATCGAGTGGGAGAGGTGGCTTACAAACTTGCGTTGCCGCCGAGTTTATCAGCCGTGCATCCAGTATTTCATGTATCCATACTTCGGAAGTATCACGGCGATCCATCCCACGTGTTAGACTTCATCACTGTCCAATTGGACAAGGACTTGTCATATGAGGAGGAGCCGGTAACTATTCTAGACCGGCAGGTTTGTCAGTTGAGATCGAAGAGTTTCCTTTCGATTCGTGTTCAGTGGAGAGGCCACCCTGCTGAGGCATCGACCTGGGAGTCCGATATACGGAGCCGTTATCCCCATCTTTTCCCCGACTCAGGTACTTCCTTCTTATGTCCGTTCGAGGACGAACGGTTGTTTTAGAGGTGGAGGATGTGATGACCCAAAAAGTCATCACTTATTTTAGAAATAAATTCTGCGTTCCAAGGCCTTAAAAACCTCTTTCAGTATCACCTCGATTTGCGTGCGCAGTCCGGGCGCATAGACGGAAAGCCATTATGTGAAAGTCTGTGAAAAATAATGAATTTTAACTTTAAAATGAATTTAAGTTGACTTCGGTCAATATTTCGGGTAAACGGACTCGGACCCGTGATTTGACGGTCCCGGAGGGTCCGAAGGAAAATATGGGACCTGGGCGTATGCCCGGAAATGAATTCCGAGGTCCCAAGCCTTAGAAATCAATTTTTGAAAGAAATTGTTTTGCTGAATTATCTAAGAAATGAAGAAAAGAATTCATGTTTGAAACCATTGTTATCGGGCCCGTATTTTGGTTTCGGAGCCCGGTACAAACTTGTTATAGTATTTGAATTATAACTGTGAAATTTGGTGAAAAATGGAATTTATTTGACGTGAGTTGGACTTTCGGTTGATGAGTTACGAACTTTGAGTGTTCTTGATGAGAATGTTGAGTTTTGAGGTTTAATTCATGGTTTTACATGTTATTTTGATGATGTGATCGCACGAGTAGGTCCATATGATGTTTTTGAGTTAGTATGCACATTTGGTTTGAAGTCCCTAGGGCTCGGGTGAGTTTCGGGTAGGTTCCGGGATGTCCTAGGCTTAAAACATAGCTGTTGCAGGTTCAGAGAAGTGCAGATCTCTGAACCCGCCAGTGCGGTCCGCATTGATTTTGTGCTGTCCGCGGTGGGGGCTTTGCGGCCGCACTCGATTTTGTGCGGTCCGCACAGGTTCACTGGTCCGACTTCGGAAGCCTGTATCGTTTGATCTACAAGGAATTTTGAGATGATTCAAAAACAAAAGTTGTAGCCCTTCGTGTCTAGTTTCTAGAAAGGTAAAGAAATCATAATTTGGACATCTGTAGACAAAGTTATGGCCAAAATACTAAAGCATATCACAGCAGTCAACTTTGTGAGCTCCGCGGCCGCACTCGATTTTGTGCCGTCCGCAGAGAGGTTCTGAGATGGGTATATTTAGACGGGATTTTCAGTTATATTTTATTTTTCAAAACCCCAAAAACATAAGAGGCGATTTTTCAAACAACCTTTCTTCTCCAAAACATTAGTAAGTGATTTCTAACCCATTTTCTTTACTCCTTAACTTCTTTTTACAAGATTTCATCCTAGAATCTAGGGTTTTCATGGTGGAATTGGGAATTTCGGGTAAAACCTAAGAATATTGAAATTTGGGGATTTAGACCTCAATTGAGGTCGGATTCCAAAAACAATTATATATCTGGGCTCGGGGGTGAATGGATAATCGGGTTTTGGTCTGAATTTCAGGTTTGGACCAAGCGGGGCCGGGGTAGATTTTTGACCTTTAAAAAAAACTTTAGAAAAACTTATTTCCATGCATAAGAATTGATTCATTTAGCATTTATTGATATAATTAAGTAACTCGTGGCTAGATACTAGCGAGTTGGTGGTGGAATCAAGAGGTAAAATGATAGTTGAGGCTTGAATTGTGTTCGTGGCATCGAGGTAAGTGTTTGGTCTAACCTTAGCTTGAGGGATTAGGAGTTGTGTCCTATTTGCTATGTGCTATTTGTTGAGTACGACGTATAGGCATGGTGACGAGTATCTATACGTTGGTGTCAAGCATGCTCGTGAGTCTTATGTTATAATTAATGTAGCTCCATTTGTATTGCTCATGTTTAATGTGATGATTGCTATTGTTGAGCAAGGTTTGTGGAAAGAGTATTGGTATTTGAACAGTGAAGAGCGTTGGCTTAAGTTGTAAAGTGATTTGTGAAAGTGTAATTGGCAATTGAACCTTATAGAGCATTGGCTCAAATTGTGAATCGAGTTGTGAGGTAAATATGAAAAAGAGAAGAGGATTATGACATTGTTTCCTTGCCGGGATGTTGTTGCTTTTAATATTGTATCCTTGCCGGGATGTTATTGATATTGATGTTGTTCCCTTGCCAGGATTTTATGGTGATCCTATTTAAATTCCTTGCCCTTATTGTTTGTGTTTGTTTTTTGGGTGAGGAAGTGTTGGCCCAAGTAAAGGTTAGTTTTGAAGACTGACAAAGGAACTCAGACATGAACCAGGTCCATCCAGTGGTCGATCCCTCAGGCTCACAAAAACGGGCAGATTCAAGCATGTGGGATGCACGTGAAGGAGATAAGCTTAACTTGGTGTATTTAATATCTCCTGATCGAAAAGGTTGCATAATTGATAAGGAGAAGGAGTCCTTAATCAAAGAGAACACTATCCAAGATAGGGAAGGAGTTAGAAGTTGAAATCAACTAGAACTCTAGTTATTTCTTCATCTACTAACTCTATAAATTGCAGGATGTTCTCACATTAAAGTGTTGCACAAAAACGCAGAAGTTAAACGTGAATTGGGAGCAAAATAGCAAGGCTTTTTGCAAGCAGTTCGTGTGTGATTCAAGTGTGCAAACCAGAAGCTACATGAACCAGATTGAAGAACCAGCTCCATAAAGAGTTTTATGTGTCTTTCTTTATTTCTAGTTCAATTGTAGTAGGCGTTTTTATACTGTACCTTTCAGCTTTATCTAGAAGCAATTGTAATAGGTATATTGAGTATTCAAGTTAGAGTTAACTTGAAAGTGTTGCAGCAGTTGAGGCTGTGTGCCACACTGGGATTAGAGTTTAATCCTTAGGTTTACAAGAGTTTTGTAAATGCTGTTTTGGCTCAGTGATTTTAGTGGAAGTTTGGGAAAATCCTACTGAGTAGTAGGTCGTGGTTTTTTCACCTTTTGAGCCAGGTGTTTTCCACGTAAAAATCTCTGTGTTCTTTATTTCTGTAATTATTATTCCGCAAACAGCAGTAGTTAGTACACCTAGAAGAACCAGGTTCTTCTAGAGCGAAAATTGGGTACCACACAAATCACCCCCCCCCCCTTGTGTGGTATTGACGTTTAAAACATCAGGAAGAGTGTTAAAGCACGAAGGGTGATGCCGTGTATGATTTTGTGAGGAAGAGTGTAAAAGAACGAAGGGTGATGCCGTGCCGAACGGTGTTCCATTCCGTGCCTTTATATGAGTGATTATGTGAGGTAAAAGCACGAAGGGTGATGCCGTGCACTTGTCCTTGATTTTCCTGATTTTACTGGTAATTGAGTTATGGTGTTCTTTACGCTTACTTACTGATTTCCTGTTGTTACTTGATTTTATTGTGATGTTATTGATTCCCTTGCCCAAATTGCTTTGTGATTGTTGCTTGGGTGAGGAAGAGTGTGAAGCACGAAGGGTGGTGCCGTGCATTGTTTTGGTGAGAGAGTGTTAAAGCACGAAGGGTGATGCCGTGCACTTGTCTTTGATTCCTTGATTTTTATTGATAACTTAGTTATGGTTTCTCTACATTTAATTGTTGGTTTTCTGTTGATACTTGTTGTACCCCGCAGCATGATCCCCCTTCCTATCTTCAATTGAACTGTGGTGATCCTTGTATTATTCGTTGTTCTTCTGTTGTTATTCGCTGTCCCCACAGCATGTTTTCCCCCTCCCATCCTTAGCTATACATTTCTGCTTTTATTGTTCCGCCGTATATGATTTAACTGCACAGGTTTATTTTGGTAGTCTGGTCCTAGCCTCGTCACTACTAGGCCGAGGTTAGGCTAGGCACTTACCAGCACATGGGGTCGGTTGTGCTGATATTACACTCTACACTCTTTTGTGCAGATCCCAGTGTTGTAGATTACGGACCGCAGTGAGATAGTTGTTTCGTGTTCATCAGGCGAACCCGAGGTAGTCCTGCAGGCGTCCGCAGGCCCTGGCGTCTCCTTCCATCTATTATTCATGTTTCTTTTGTATTCCCAGAGACAGTGTTGTATTATTTCTTTCAGACCTTTAATTGTAGTACTCTTAGACAGTCTGTGAAGTTGTGACACCAGTCTTGGGTAGATTTGTTATGGAATGGTATTAGCAGTGTTATTAAAATTTTAAATTTAGTCTTCCGCCTATTAAATTTTGTTGTTTATTAATTGTTGGTTCTAAATTGTTACTGAATTAAAAATCAAAACTAGGTGAATAATTCAATTGGTTGACTTGCATAGCTTTCACTAGTAGGCGCCAACACGACTCCCGAGGGTGGGAAATTCGGGTCGTGACAACCATAGACACATGGACTTCGTTACAAAGAATTAACTATATGCGTTTGACGAGTAATTTTATTGATAGAGATTGGGTGTTGCATAAAAGAACACTAAATTTTTTCCCTTTCTCTAGTCATAAGGGTGACGGGACGGCAAAAGTTATTGGTAATTGTTTGCTTGAATGGAAATCGGATAAGGTATTCATTGTTACTGTTGATAATGCTTCGTCGAATGATGTCACGGTCAAAGAATTTTCTAAACAATTAGATATGTGGAAAACTAATTCGATGAGTGGGAAGTATCTTCATGTGAGACGCATGGCTCACATACTTAATCTTATTGTGCAAGATGGTTTGAAGGAATTGATATTTCTGTAAAACATGTTAGACAAGCTGTGAGGTATATGAGATCATCTCCGAAAAGGACCTTAAAGTTTAGGGAATGTTGTGCATATCAAGAGGTAGAATGTGGCAAGACATTGTGTTTGGATGTTCCAACTAGGTGGAATTCCACCTACTTGATGTTGGAAACGGCGCAAAACTTTGAGGAGGCCTTTGACAAGCTTCATCTTTTTTATGATGGATTTTCTACTCATCCTTGTATGCATGTTTATAAGGATGGGAATGTTGCAGGTCCATTTATATGTGATGATTTGGTGAATGTGAGAAATGCGATAAACTTTCTTGAAAGATTTAACGAGCTCACCGAAAAAGTTTCAGGTTCACATTATGTCACTTCTAGTATTGTCATTTTGAGGATGTATGTGAGCTTAATAGTTATTTGAAATCTTGTTTAGCTAGTGATGATACTAATTTGAGTAAGATGGAAGGGAAGGTGAAAGAAAAATTTAAAAGATATTGGGGTGAACCTGAAAAGATGAATAAAATGATATTCATTGTTTCTATATTAGATCCTCATAACAGATTAGAGTATGTTGGTTTTGCACTAGAGCAAATGTTCGGGAAGGAACCAGGGAAGAAATTAACTGCCGAAGTGGATGCTTATTTGAATTCTTTGTTTGGGGAATATCAAAACAAATATTCAAAAGGATGTTATCTTCAATCATCTCCATCTAAATCTACTTCATCTGATGACATATCTGATTTATCTAGTAGGAATGTGAGAAATCTGTGAGAACAAAGCATCAATTGAAAAGGCAAAAGGAAGATTCTGGAAGTGGCGGTGCTAAATTTTAGTTGGAAAGATATATTTGTGAAGGACAAGAGCCATTGTCTGATGATTCTGATGACTTTAAAATCTTAGATTGGTGGAAAATTAATGGTCCACGATATCTAAGCTAGCTCCTGATGTATTGGCTATTCCAATTTCTAGTGTTGCATCGAAATATACATTTAGCACCGGTGGCCGTATTTTTGATTTATTTAGGAGTTCATTGACTCCTCGATTGGTGCAAAGTCTTGTTTGTGTTCAAGATTGGTTTAGATGTGAGGGTACTCCTATTAACGTTGGAGAAGATTTGGGGTTTCTTGAGCAAATTGAACTTGGTAAGATTTTGTGTTTTATGAGGGTTATAGTGAAAATTAGTATACTTTCTAAGTATAAATGACACACTTGATCAAATTATATTTAGATATGGAAAAGAGCGGAAGAGAAACTTGCATTGTTGAAAGAGATACTAGCGTTGTTGATGCATAGCTTGAACAAGTGGCAAGTTTAAAGATTTGCTTGTTTTATGATATCCTTTGTTATTTATAATTAAAAATGTTTAGTTTAACTTGTGATCTTTTCTTATTTTGTAGGTTCAACTATGCCTCATGGTCCTAAAGCTAGATCGCCTATTTGGGAACATTTTGAGGTAGTTAAAGAAAATGAATAAGTCCGCAAAGCAAAGTGCATTCATTGTGGTCGAGTTTATCCAAAGTTTTATGGCACTTTTGGATTAGTGGAGAATATTATGTAGTGTCTCATGCCTCTTCCAGTGATTCGTATTTAAGACTTTAAGTATCCTTTTCTAGACTTACTTTGTGGCTTGTGGGTTGTGACTAGTTTGCCACTGTTTGGTTGTTTGGTTATGGTATTTCTAGACTTGTTTTGGTTATCTCTTGGATTCTACAGGATCTTGTATTGAACTAAAATAGTATCTACTAACTGCTTCTTTAACTTCTGCATTGCTCCCATAAATAGTAGCTGCTGCCTGCTTCTGTATAATGGGGCAAGATTTTAGTATGGTATGAAATGATGTTACCTTCAATAATTAGTTGCTGCCTGCTGAGGCGTAGACAGTGGAAGGGTCGTTTACATTTGGGATTTCCCTAGCATCCCCAAAAGGGAGTTGGATTGAAAGATAATGCTTATAATAATCTAGGCAAAATTATATTTAAAACATTATCGATGGTAGGTCAAGAAGACCAAGATTTGATCGTATTTTGGTCATTGCCTGTTAACTTACATGTTGTCCTTCAATTGTTTCCTAGATTTACATGATGTCCTTCAACTCTTTAGACAATTTGCTTGTTTAGACCAAGACTTTTGCTTGGTCAAAGAAAAAATGTATGTCTGGAGAGAATAATGCAGAAAGTCGTAGATTATGCAAGATTTTAGCACCAAAAGAATTATTCCAATGAGTCAACACATATAAATCTTGCACCGTTAATGACTGAAAAACCAAACCAGAAATAACCAAACCGAACCTTGAAAACCGTACCGAACCGCAAAATACGTTGGTTCGGTTTGCTTATTAATATTAAAAACCAAAAACCGATAAACCGAACCGTACTTTCATACTAACCGACCGAACCGACCAACGCCCACCCCTAATAGGAACCCTAGCAGCAATTCTTAGTGGCGATGGCCCTGGTGGTACTAGAATCTCAGCTAACCAAGGTCGGCCTTCGTCCCACAGTGCACACTTCTCCAAATACTCCTTCGGCTCAACATCATCAAATCCCAAGTACGCGTTGAGCGTATGCTAATCAAACCTCACTTTGAGGTTACGTACTTTTGTCACCTTCATCCCCTTTTTGATATGAACCATTTGGCATAGAATTCACAGACAATGTACTCTTTTGCATCCACTACACTCTGAGTGAACCACATCCACCCCTTGCCTGCCCTGAACTATCTCAAAATGGCTGGGTTGTACCTTTCCAAATCCGTCAAGAGAAACTGTCGCTCAAGAGTTAGAGACCTCACTAGCCACCACATACAAAAGCAGGTGAAGGCGGCCAGGCTGACAACGCGGTATTCCAAAACCTCTTTCTTCTTTAATCTTACAAGGGTGGCAGCTGTGGCATCTCCCCCTCTGCCATCATCTGGGATATCATGAACTGGTGTATCATGTGCCCCAGGGACTAGTGTAGCCGACGGCTCAGAAGCCTGTCTAGCACTTTTCGATACCTTGAAAGCGCTATGAGATGAGGACGGCTCGTCCCTGAGATAGTATCTCCCCTGCGGCCTCGACTGTATGGCCGGCTGCTCTCGAACAGAGGTTGAGTTGCCCTCTGATGCTTCCCTAGACGGGACGTATGAGCTCGTCTCGGTCTGCACCTCTCCCTCTGCCGGATATTTCTTTCTTCCTTATTGTCTTTGGCTGGCCAAGGGTTAAGGCACTTTTGCCTCGATCCCGAGAAAGTTCACCTCTCCGTTTTGAAGTGTCGCCTCATCCTCTAGATCGAACCATTGTTTATATCAAGCAAAGGCGAGTGTTAGTTGCAATTCAATGTTCAAACATACACAAGAGTCATGCAAGTAAAGGATAAACTAGAATACACAATGAGGGTGTTCAGTTAGATCATGCTTGCAGGGAAAGTGATCTGCGGTCCGCACAATTTCATTTGCGGCTGCAGATGAGGACTTGCGGAACGTACATTTTTGTTGTGCGGCTGCATAAATGAAGTGCGGTCCGCACAATTTCACTTGCGGCCGCACCTCTAAAACCCAAATAATGGCAACTCTCTGATGACACCGAATCGGCTAATGTGCGGCCGCGACAGGATTTCTACGGTCCGCACAATTAAACTTGCGGCCGCACATTGGAGTCTCAAAGTAGGAACTCCCTAATGACAGTAACTGGGCGGTTCTGCGGCCGCGATGGGAATTCTGTGGACCGCATAAATTCAAGTTCGGGCGTAGATTTCATAAACTACATACAGATCAAACATATAGAAACATGAAATTACACTAACTCAGTCCCTATAGAGCATATATCCAGTTAACCCCATTTAGATTTACCCCACATGGACAAATAATTGAACTCGAATAACAAATTCCCTAAAAAGAAATAAAAATCTACAAATTAAACTAACTAAAAAGATTAACGTGACCTTGAAGCATACCAGATAGAGTTTGTGTAATGAGTGACTGATCAAAGTGGTTGTGTGTGGGGACAGATGAAATCACCAAAAAAATTCAACAGAGCACAATTTTTATGTTTAGAGAGTGAAAAACGTAAAAATGGCCCATGTTCCTCTATTTATGCTACTTGTTTTCTAAGAGGGAAAAGGACGAGTGCGGTCCGCACTCTGTTACTGGAACCTCATCTCAGCTTTTCATCTGTGGTCCGCATAATTTCATGTGCGATTGCAGATCGACCTCCGCACTGACAGGCTAAAACTTTAGAGAGTTGTATTTTCATCATCCCAATTGTGCGATCCGCAAGCTAAATATGCGGACGCAATGCTCTTTTGCTATAGCACCAATAATTGTGCGGTCCGTACAAATCAACTGCGGTCCGCATTCCTTAAAACACTTAGCCATATTTTCGTCCACAATTCCTGTAAGTCATACTAAGCCCTGTAGCACACTTCAAATCAAGTTAGAACAAAAATAACACCTAACTACAAAAAAGAAAAAGGAAAAGAAACATGGGTTGCCTCCCAAGATGCACCTGATTTAACGTCGCGGCACGACGTAGAATACCATCAAGTGAAATGAATGACCGTCACGACGTGGCAATCTCTAACCTTTCCCAAATAGTGCTTCACCCGGTTACCATTGACTCGGGATACTTCATTATTTTTGTTCTTCAAGTCTAATGCACCAAAAGGTGTCACACCAACAATTTCAAAAGGACCACTCCATTTAGACTTTAGCTTCCCGGGAAACATCCTCAACCTTGAGTTAAACAACAAAACAAGATCGCCCACCTTGAACTCTTTGTTCCAAATGTATTTGTCATAAAGATATTTCATCTTTTTGTCACGATCCAAAACCAACCTGTCGTGACAGTGCCTATCATGGTACTAGGCATGCCGAGTACGTAGACATTTCCAACACTCTAAAGCTTCGAAAGATACGAAAGTAGTTAAAATTAAGAAAAACCTTTTAAAAATAGAGTAAGAAATCATAACTCAATACAAAATCTCTTCCAAAACCGGGGCGTCACCAAGTACATGAGCATCTACATAAAGACATAGTCTAATACACCATCTAGGTAATAAAAATTGAAACATAAAATGAAAGATAAGGAGGGAGAGTCAAGATCTACGAACGCCAATTAACTACCTCGATAGTCTCCGAAAATCTGGACTCCACAACTCAGCAACCGCCGTGGCTGAAAGCACCTAGATCTGCACACGAGGTGCAGGGTATAGCGTGAGTACAACCAACTCAATAAGTAACAAATCTAACCTTTGGACTGAAAGGTAGTGACGAACTCAGCAGGTACAGTTCAATATAGAAATAATAGTACAGAAATGTAGGCATGCTTTCAAGTTCAACAATAAACTCAATTCAAGTAAAATAGATCAATTCTGAATGATATGAAGAGTATGACCTCTCTACAGCTACATGCCAATACACAAGAAACAATCTCTCCACTCTCTCTCCACTCTCTCTCTCTCTCTCTCTCTCTCTATCTCTATCTCTCTCTCTCTCTCTCTCTCTCTCTCTCTCTCCCGGGCTCACAATGTCATAAAACTAGCCCAAAAATAATGATATGATATAGCAATAAATAACAACGGAGACTAAGATATGATATGCAATGAATAAAAATGACTAAGTACGAAATTTCAATGTAATCCATAAGTCAACAGCAAGAAACAACCACTATGGGTCCCAACAGCACCAGCATATAGCCTAAACAAGATTTCTAGCATGATTGGCAGCTCAATTATTTATCACATGATGAAAACACGGATATCAACAAGATAAATCAACTATACAGTTCCATAAAATTGGCCAGGTCACAGTTCTTACGGTGCACGCCCAAACACCCATCACTTGGCATGTGCGTCACCTCAACACCAATCATATAACACATAATTTTGGGTTTCGAACCCTCGGGGCCAAGTTTAGAAGTGTTACTTACCTCAATCCGAGCAAATCTCTACTCCATCACACCTTTGCCTCGCGAAACGGCCTCTGAATGCCTCGAATCTAGCCACAATGCGATACAATCAACACGGGCTAAAGGAATCAATTCCATAAGGAAAAACTAAGTTATTAATCAACAGTCAAAAGTCGACTCAAAAGCCGGCCCCCGGGCCCATGTCTCGAAATCTGATAAAAGTCTCAAAACCCGAAAGCCCATTCAACCACGAGTCCAACCATACCAAATTTACCAAAATCCGATAACCAATCGCCACCCAAATCCCCAAACCAAACTCTACAAATCCCTAGCCTCAAACTCCCAAATTCCACCTTTACACACAAACTAGGTGGAAAAATCAATGGGGAAACTCAATTATTGAATAAATTAGACCACAAGTGACTTACCTCAAGAAATCCCTCGAAAATTAACTCAAGAATCGCCAAATCCCAAGCTTGAAATGTTAAAAAAAAGGTGAAAATCTTGGAACCCACGTTTTAAATAATCTGCCCAGCATTCTCGCTTCTACGACACCTCTTTTGCAGTCCATCATCCGCATCTGCGGAAGC